CTTGGAGACTAATTTGTTGAGTTGACTCAGACTAGCATGTCCAAGTCTCTTGTGCCAAAGGAGGAGATCATTGTCCAACACACTTAAGCAAGTGAGTTCATTTTCTGACAGTGTGGACAGATCTACAATATATATATTGTTCACTCTTTTTCCCTTCAAAACAATCTTGTCAGTGGCAAGATTAATCACAAAACATTTGGTAGAGGTGAATGCTACTAAGTTACCTCTATCACACAGTTATGATACACTAATTAGACTGTATTTTAAGCCATCTATCAAGTAGACATTCTCAATAGAGTGAGAATCAGTCTTACCTACCTTTCCAACCCCAATAATCTCACCTTTCTTCCCATTTCCAAAGGAGACATTACCTCATTTGAGGTCCTCAAGTGAAAGAAAATGGTTCTTGCTTCCTTTCATGTGCTTTGAGTAGCCACTATCCATGTACCATATTTGGCTGGTCCCCTTCACTTGGACCTGCAAAAGGAAATCAAGGGTTAGTCTTAGGAAACCAAACTAGTTTGGGTCCCTTTCTATAGGCAAAAGGATGAATCAAATTCTTTTTAGCCCAACCCGGCAGCCTATTTTTCCCTTGAGCAAACTTTTTATTCTTTTGACTAGCCTTTTCTTTTGCAGTGCATTCACTTTTATAGTGACCAGTCTTACCACAGTGTGTACAAAGTTTGTTCTCAGGAAGTGTGAGATACTTGCTTTTGGGATCCCATTTAGGTGGCAAATTCCCAAAGCCAATTCCTCTTTTATTGCTACTATGATGTTCCTCTAGCCATAACAGTGCATCGGAGGACCTGTTCTATTTACAAGTTCTGTCTAGTTCATGCTTGACTTTGCCTAGATCCTCTCTCAAAATTATTACCTGCTCATCCTTCTTATACAACTCATCTTTTAGTTTACCTACATTTTCTTCTAGAGTGAGTTGTGTGAAATCAACTGTTCTTACTTGTTACTAATTTCAGTTTTAGGTTTTCAGATCTAAGTTCTAGGACATTTGATTTAAATGTATGAACCTGGTTCTTTAATGCAGTATTTTCACTTATAGTCTCACTAACCCTAAGTTCCAGGTTCTTACACTTTGCTTTCAAAATCATACATTCCTTAGACAGTTGTTCGTTATCATTATTTACGTCCTCAGATTCATCAATGAAATCTAGAAGTAATTCAGATAGCCTTTCTTTAGACAAAAATTTAATTTTGTCTTTGAGATGAATTACACTTACCTTAGATTTCTCATCAAATTCTCCAATGGCCAAAAGTGCTTGTTCATCTCCCTCTTCATCATCTGAGCTTTCATCTGAGATTTCTCCCCAAGTAGCAACTATAGCCTTTGTTGATCCTTTGTTCTTCTTGGGTTGAACCTGTTCCTTCTTCCTGTTTCTTCGTTCAGCTCTTTCCTTCTTCCATTCAATTTCCCATTGAGGGCAGTTCTTGATGTGGTGATCATTCTTACCACACTTGTAGCATCCCTCATTGGTTTTCCTTTCAGGAGTCTTTGGTTTGCTGTAGCTTCCACTTCTTGAAGGACCCTTTCCTCTCTTTAGATACTTTTTGAAGTCCTTTGTGATCATAGCCATTTCATCATCTTCTAGATTAGAACCTTCAGTGATTCTGAGTGTCAGGCTCTTTTCCTTCTTGGGTATATCCATCTTCATAATTTGTCTTCTAAGTTCATAAGCAATGAGATTTCCAATTAGCTCATCCAACTTAAGAGTGGCAATATTTTTTTATTCCTGAATGGCAGTGATTTTGCTCTCCCAAGTAACTGGCAGAACCCTTGTCAAAATTTTCTCAACTCTATCTTCTTCAGAAATAATCCTTCCAAGAGACTTAAGTTTATTTGTCAGTGTGGTGAACCTTGTATACATCTCTTGGATGGTTTCCCCTTCCTTCATGGTGAAATTCTCATATTGAGAATATAGTAGTGTTCCTCTGGACCTCTTCACTTGAGGTGTTTCTTCATGGGCTACTTGCAAAGTGTCCGAGATTTCCTTAGCAGTGGTATAGCTTTGGATTCTACTGTACTCATCTAGACCGAGTCCACAAATAAGCCATTTCTTGGCTTTAGCATTCTTCTCCCATTTCCTCAGGTCGTCAGCAATGCAATCAGCTCTTGTCTTTGGCACCTCTTCTCCTTCGGGATTTATCTTCATGGTAGCCAGTGGTCCATCTGTGACAATGTCCCTTAGCTCATAGTCTTCTCCTATGATGTAATCTCCTATCCTGTTTTTCCACCAAGAGTAATATTGGCCGTTGAAAAGTGATGGCCTAGCAGTGGATTGCCCTTCCAAGTTTTCAGGTGGTGCACTTATCTTGATCTTCTCCTAAGGTGTTAGGCTCTTCAAGGATAACCTGCTCTGATACTAATTGATGTTTTATACTTCAATACCACATAAGAGGGGGGATGATTTGTGTAGTGTCCAATTTTTCGCGTGCACAGATTATAGAAGGACCTGGTTCTTCTATGTGTTCCTTATACTACTGTTGCGGAATAATAAATGTAGAAATTAAAGAGCACAAGGATTTTTACGGGGAAACACCTGGCTCAAAAGGTGAAAAAACCACGACCTACTTCCCAGTAGGATTTTCCCAAAACTCTTCACTAAATCACTGAGCCAAAAACTGCATTTACAAAACACTTTTGTAAACCTAAGATTAACTCTTATCACGTTGTGGCAACCAGCCTCTAACTGTTGCGACAACTTCAAGTTAACTCTAACTTGAATACTCTGAGTACCTATTACAATTGCCTCTAGATAAAGCTGAAAGGTACAATATAAAAGCACCTACTACAATTGAACTTGAATAAAAAACAGACACTTAGAACTGGTTCTTCTATCTGGTTCATATAGCTTCACGTTTGCACACTTGAATCACACACGAACTGCTTCCAAAATGCCTTGCTATTTTGCTCTCAATTCACGTTTAACTTCTGCTTTTGTGCGTTACTGTAGAATGAGAACATCCTGCGATTTATAGAGTTAGTAGAGTAGAAAATAACTAGAGTTCTAATGCTACTCTTCCTTGGTGGAAGAGTTCTAGTTAATCTCAACTTCTAACTACTCTCTTATCTTGGTTAGTGTTCTTTTTGATTAAGTAGTCCTTCTCCTTATCAATTATGCAACCCTTTTCGATCAGGAGATATTAATTAGACCAAGTTAAGTTTATCTCCTTCACGTGCATCCCACATGCTCGAATCTGCCCGTGTCTATGCACACAAGGGATGGACGTGGTTCATGCCTGAGCTTCCTTTGTCAATCTTCAAAACTAACCTTCACTTAGGCCAACAGGAATTAAAACAATACTATTTCAAAATTGAAATTTTACACTTATGGTAAAAAAAATCAGCTTGATAAATATTGAATTCAATGTGGTTTGCTTAAATATAAGAGAAATATATAAGTTCTAGAAGAAGCTTTATTTGCAAATGTCGAAATTNTTATATTATTGGAAAAAATGAGAAAACTATTACTATTATTATTATTATTATTAAAAAACTCCGTCCGTGTGAGCTTGCTGGTACTATTGCCAAGAACTAATAAATATACGATGATGGTTGTAGTAGGTTCACAACCAGCGTAAAAACTAGTACTGAGGCGTCACTTACGATATAAAATACATCGTGACGTGTTAATCAACATCTGTGTGTAATAAAAAATAGACATGGGATTCCATAAAATTAAATAACTCGGTTATAATACTGAGGTCAAGTTTTCATTCGTTGCTTTATGTGTTGTTCTCTTAATTATTTGCCAGTACAGTTGCTAAATGATGGTGTTGTTCAATCCATATGTTTATGTTGAGTTAAATGATGTGATGCCGGATCCATATGCATATCACTGCTAGACTACAAATCTCAGTCCTAAACCATATTTCTTTAGAGTTGAGTTCAGTGGTGATTCCATTTTCGAGGCTTCTGAAACTTTAATTGGTGTAGACGAGTTTCTTAGGTCTAGAAATGGAGACTCTATGCACAAAAGACGTGCCACTGGTGGCAGGAAGAAATCTTGGAGGAAGAAGCTCAGGTATGAATTTGGCCGCTGCCCTGCTAATACTAAGCTGTCAAGTAACAAGACAGTCAATGTTCTGGTACGTGGCGGCAGTGGCAATGTAAAGTAGAGGGTTGGACACAGGAAATTACTTATGGGATACTGAGGCAGTCTTGTGCAAGACTCGTATCCATGATGTGGTTTATAGCGCCTCAAACGATGAAGTTGTTCGTATACAAACTCTGGTCAAGAGCACAACTGTTCAAGTTGATAACGCACCTTCCAAACAATTTTACTTCCAACATTATATATGGTGTTGAAATTGATACTAAACTTAATTACAAGTTAGAAGCACTCCTAATTGTTGAAGTTACCCTTTTATTTTTTTTCGGTCTAGCCTTAGGGTACGATTTCTCAAAAATCATGGTAAAATGAGTATATCAGTATCAATATATGTACTAAACGTCAAACCAAGAAAATTCATTTGCTGTTATATTGTTTTCCTTATACTCAAATTAAATTTGGATGAATTAATAGCATCTAACATAGTTCAAGCTTGCAAATAACCCAGTATAGAAATTTACTTATAAAAAAAACTCATTAATCTCATCATTAAATGTCAAATCTAGAAAATAAAGTTCCTTCTTTTCAATAAGTTGCAAGAAAATAATAAGCAGCAAAATCCCAACCAACTTTAAATGAGCGGTGACCCAACCCAAAAAGAGAAAAAGCAAAAAAGTACCTGGAGAGAGCCAGCCTTTCCGATATGAATGTGCTATATGAATCACATTTTCCATTGCTTTGCTTTGCCTTCCTGTTGTAGTTCAGCAGAGAAAGACAACTTGGAGCCCGATGGAAAGAGTAGATCCACAAAAACTTCATATTGCAGATATCATTATGCATATTACATCATGCAGAAAAAAAGTACAAACCAAATAATAGAACATAATTTTGATCTAAATAGAACATATAAGGGCAACACTACTGATGCCTACAACATAAGAAAATCATTAGAAATTTATCATATCATCAAACTGGATCAAAAGTAAGGGCAAAACGTATCCAATGTTTAATAGTAAAGTACCACGTCATTGTCTAAAATTTATACCCAAAGTTAAATTTTAAAACAGCCCAACGATGTTGATGCCAATAATCAGTCCCTTTGATGCTCACTTCGCTGATCATCTTGGCCAGAAAGCGAGCCTTCGTTGGTACCTAATACAAACGGCAAACAATAGAAGCAAGGTTGGACTTCTTGTTTCAGATTGCAAATAGAGTATCAAAATTACGACATAAAGCTCCTTCCAAGTTTAACATACAAGGTAATGACTAAATTCTTAAGAAAAATATGTGTGACATCTTTATTCTTCACGAGTAAATCTAATTTAAAAGAAAAATAGCAAACAGACCCACGATTTACGGGAAAAAGGCTAAATCACTCATTTTTGTTTAGCTAATACTTCCAGAAGGTTACACGAAGCTTCCCTCTTCTATCTCATTGAACCAATTCCAATACCATCCTCCAGCACCATTTGAAGCAAAAATTATGATCAACAACAGATCTATCCACAAAATCGATGTAGAACTAATACGATTTGAAATCAGCACATCACATAACAGAATAGAATTTTTCAAAGTGTACCAATCAAACTTGGAAATATATGGAACAAAAAAAGCAAAATAAGCAACATATTGTAACAATGGCTTTAAGCCTAACGCAATTTGTCTTCAATATTGAAGCAACATATTCTAACAGAAGCGGCAATAGAGAAAAGGAAAAGCACTGATCTTTGTGAAAAAAAAATTCAGTATCTCAGAATGAAATACTTATAAAACCAAAAGATCAATAGTTGCACAGCAGAGTCTGTAAATATGAAGATAATTATACCGTAAGGTGGAATCTCGGTAATGAAAAAGGATGTATATCGTTGTCACCCTATTCTTCTCCATTAACTTTCCAAAAATTTGGTAAATGCAAAGTTACATTCCAACCTTTATGAGTTACAAGCACGGCACTCCATAGCAACGTTGGAGAGGAAGTGATTTTCTGCTAAAAGACGCTCCAAATTAAGAGGATTAAATAAATGTGACGTTTGGAGGTAAAAAGTAAAAACTGAAAGTGACGGTTGAATTGAATTTTCTTAAAAGAAGCAATTGTTTATCATTTATAAAAAAGGAGAAAAGGGAAAATATGGAAAAAAGGATAAATGCAAATGCTGGTTTTGGAGAATGCACTCACTGGTCCTGCTTTATATTATTATATAGATAACATAATAGTATATTATAGTTAAGCAATTGCAAATCACAAAAGAAAAGAAGAAGTAGAGAACGATGGTGTTTAGGTATTTTTCAAACTTGATGGATCCTCTTTTAATCAAAAATCTCAAACCAATATCTTCTATTACTAAACGAAAATTGAATTGGGTAGGGAATAAGAAAAGGAAAAGACAGTAGCCTCCTTTTGAAAGAAGCTATTGACCCGAATATTAGTCAAATATCTTAACCAACATAATCTTTTTGTTCTTAAAAAAGATTGAATTGGATGGTCAATAAGAAAAGAAAAAGACTTAAACAGAAATAATTCTTCCAAAATCATATAAAAGCATCAAAAACAAAAGTAACAACAAACTAAAAGAAGAAAATAGTCAAATACTACCAAAGGTTACAAAAATCTTCTATAGAACGCCAAAGAAAAGCTTATCACTTGCTAAAGAGCAATTGGAACAATATGGAAGAGATTATAGTTATATTACATATATTAGGAACGGAGTCAAATCTTGGGTATAGTGCAAATACAAAGAAAATTTTATTAAAAAATAAAAAACTCCTAAATCAAAAAATAATTCAAAGTACTCATTTTTTTACCTAATATACCCTAATACATTTTTATTAAATTACTTTTATTAATAGAAAACCCTCCCTCCTAAACCTAATTAAAAGGGCTACGTGGTGATCGAAACTTTCTGATTGTGAATTGAAAGTGCTTGGAATCTAATACTCCTAAATCTAAATGGAGTAAAAAATTCATTAACAAAAAGAAAACCATGCAAAGTGGTCGAAACTTAATTTCCTGGTGCAAATTAAAAAGTGCAGGAATTCTAGAACTGTAAGGAAATTAAAAAATAAAATTCCTGAATATTAGAAAAATAATTAAATTATTTTTCCCTAACAAACTCCTTGAAGAAATACTAACCTAACACATCATTTTTTGTCTTATTAATGTTAGTTTAATCTAAAATTACTTCATTCATTTGTGTATTGTTTGAAGTGACTTTGCAGTCTCCTTTTCATTTTTGTCTACTTCATTTTTGTCTACTTATTGTCTACTTCATTAATCTAAAATTACTTCATTTTTGTCATTAATTTTTCTATGACTACGATAGTTCATTTGGATATAGGTGCAACTATTGTATTATAAGGCCAATTTCTGTTCCTTGTTTTACAGATTAAGGGTATGCTAAAGTTTGAGGAAAAACCCAAAAAAAGAAAGTTAAAACAAGAAAATGAGAATCAGATTTGTTTAGTCGGAAACGCATGCAAGTTAAATAAATGTGTGAGTGTGACTATCTCTCAGTAGTCAGAATTTGCATATCATAGCAAAAGAATTAGATAATGTGATGAGCAAATTTAGGATCATAACCGGCACTTAGGAGAAAGTGTCCCAAGTAAGCCTTACTGATATTTTATAGAAAAACGGACAAAGTTTTTCTTGTTTTTGGGACTATCCAAAAACTTTCCTCTCTCAAAATCAACAATCAAATATCCTAATATCAATCAAACCAACAATAACTTTATCAATTAACCAAATAAGTCTCAACCATTAATAATCCACCCATTAATAACCAGAAATACTAATTTATCTCCAAATTTGATAAGAAAGTGCAATACTCATCATAAGTTTATAATAACGAAAGAATACTCATGACACTAAAAGAATGGCTAAGGAGCGACTTTAAGAGTTCAAAGAAAAGACCATAACAATTAATTAAACTCCTTGCCCACACGAACAAATATGAGGCTCACCAAGAACTATCAACATGTGCGCTCTAATTAACGAAATCCTCGCATGCGTCAACTGTTGTCTCTGTTAAAAAAATAGCACGGAGTGAGTCGCTAGCTCAGTGAGTAATAACACTTAACCACAACCGTTTTATTGGGAACAAGTCAGAAAACATGCTAGTTTATTAAACAAAAAATGTCATGAGAATGCTCTTTCAGAAATAATAAACAATAATCAGTCTCATCATGTTTTTCATGTAATAGAATTCAATTGACAATTCGGTAATAAGCTCGATCAATATTGTGTAATATCAATATTCATGTTTGGGAGGTTTTCAAGGAAGGATCATGTAATCTGGATCATTATGTGGACCCATTCGTGAAAAGAGTCAAATATAATTGTAGGTCCTTACTCGAGGAAAAACTGTAAATGTATGTGTCACGACCCAAAATCCTAACATGTCGTGATGGCGCCTATCATGGTACTAGGCAAGCCGATATCTACGAAATAACTCCAACACTTAACAGAAAATAGATTTAAAAGAGTTTAAATGATAATAACTTCTCATAAACAGGATAGAAACTTCAAAATACTACGCGAAAATTCCCAACATCGGGTCACTTAGTGCATGAGCATCTATACATCACAAGTCCGGAAAATACTATCTATGATAATCTTGAAACTAAATACAATAAGTGAAAAGATAGTGAAGGAGAGACAAGGTCTGCGAAACGCCGGCAACTACCTCGAAATCTCCAGAAGATCAACTGTGCGCGGAAGTCAACACCCACTGTGTCCGGGAACACCTGGATCTGCACATGAAGTGCAAGGTGTAGTATGAGTACAACCAACTCAGCAAGTAACAATACTAAATAAAGAACTAAAAGTAGTGACGAACCTTAAAATTATAGTTCAATTACAGTGGTTTTAACATAGGAAAGTAGGCATGCTTTCAAGTTCGACAATTAAGGCCAAAACAATAATTTCATATCAAGTTCAACTGAAACAAAGTGTAATAACTTTCAGAAAGTTTCATGGCAGTGATACATAGCAACTAAGTGCAACAATAATGAAATCAAATATATCCTCTCAGGGCCACAGTCACTCAGCCTTCCCATTCACTTGGCACTCGCACTCAATAGATACCTGCGCTCACTGGGGTTGTGCAGACTCCAGAGGAGCTCCTTCAGCCCAAGAGCTATAATCCACACGGACAACTCACGTGTTGCACGGATAACTCACGTGCCATTATATAATATCTGGATCTGTACGGATAACTCACGTGTTGCACGGACAACTCACGTGCTATAGTATAATATCTGGATCTGCACGGACAACTCACGTGCTATAGTATAATACCTCACAATCAGGCCCTCGATCTCACTCAGTCATCAACCTCTCCAGTCTCTCAGGCTCTCAGAAATCATAATAAGCAGCCCAGATAGAAATTATATGATATATCAAAAATGAACAATAGAGACTGAGATGTAATATACAAATAAGTTGTGACTGAGTAAAATAACAATTTAGCATATAATTCAATATATACACGATCTCTGTAGGTCCCTACAATGACAACATATAGTCTAAACATGATTTATGGTTCAATTTCTCTAATGCATGAAGAATGTACAAATAACAACAGATTTTACCACTACACGGTTCTTACGGAATTTGACCAAGTCATAATTCCTATAGTGCACGCCCACACGCCCGTCACCTAGCATGTGCGTCACCTCAAAACAAAATACATGACACGTAATACTGGGTTTCGTACCCTCAAAATCAAATTTAGAACTATTACTTACCTCAGTCCGAGTAAATCTCAACTCCAACACACGCTTGCCTCGCGAAACGGCCTCTGAATGCCTCGAATCTAGGCATAAACAATGTGACATAATCAATACGGTCTAAAGGAATCAACTCCATACGAAAATGCTAATCTATTAATCAAAATCAAAAATCGACTCAAAAGTCGGCCCCCGGGCCCACGTCTCGAAATTCGATAAAAGTCACAAAACCCGAAAGCCCACTCAACCACGAGTCTAACCATATCAAATCTATCAAAATCCGACACCAAATCATTCCCCAAATCTCCAAATCAAACTCTTCAAATCCCTAGCCTCAACCTCCCAATTTACACCTTAAATACACACCAAATATGTGGGAAAATCAATAGGGAAGCAGTATTATTGATCAAAAATAAGCACAAGGTACTTACCTTAAGAATCCCCTCGAAAACCCTCTCAAAAATTGCCTAAACCGTACTTGAAATGTTTGAAATGAAGCCAAAATCACAAACCCTTGTTTTAATAATCTGCCCAAACTTTTCGCACCTGCGGAACTGCTTCTACGGTCAATTCCCCACTTCTGCGGAAGCCGCTTAAATTCCTCAGGCCCGCATTTGCGCTCCATGTTCCGCACCTGCAGAGCCGCTTCTGCGGCCTTCCATCCGCTACTACGAAAACATGCCCCTCTCTCAATTCTGCATCTGCGGAGCCTCGCTCGCACTTGGGGGCTCGCAGATGCGGTAAATTCCTCGCACCTGCGCCCTGCCCAGGCCAGCCCCAACTCCGCTTCTGCATAACCCCAACCGCATCTGCGGCATCACAGGTGCGGAAATGACCTTGCACCTGCGACCTCTGCTCACCTCCTCCCTGGCCGCTTCTGCAGTTCACCTCTCGCTTCTGCGAGATCGCACCTGCGATCCCCACTCCGCAAGTGCGATTACACCAGAAACTGGTGAGCTTCAGCACTTCCTTCCAACCTCAAATCAATCCGTTAACCATCCGAAATCAACTCGAGGCTCCCGAGACCTCAACCAAACATACCAACAAGTCTTAACAACTCATACAAACTTAATCGAGCCTACAAACCACCTCGAACAATATCAAAAACATGAATCACATATAGATTCAAGCCTAATGAACTTTGAACTTCCAATATCTACAAACGATGCCGAAACCTATCAATTCACATCCGATTGACCCCAAATTTTGCACACAAGTCACAAATGACACCACGGACCTATTCCAACATATGGAATCGGAATCCGACCCCGATATCAAAAAGTC